CCCCCCCCCCCCCCACACACACACACCCCCCAGAAAAAACATTTGGATAGCTCACACCAAAATGAAAACTCCACTGTTTGTTATTCACTCTCATGTTGTTCCAACACCACGTGCTTTTTTCACACAACAGCCAATCTTAAAGGGTTCAGCTTCTTAAAGTTCATGTACTGTAAGTGATGTTTGTCAACTTTGCTAACTAATCTCTTCAGCCATATGTTTTCCCTCAAAAATCCCCTGCAAAGACATGACAGCAAATCTCATATCAGCAAACCTGAGTGTGCAAAGTGATTGACTACAAGTTTTCTGTCACAGAAGTAAGAGTTACTGTATTTCTTAGGACACGTGTTTCGGTGAAATTGTCAGGTGGTAGAGACATTTTATGTGTGGTATTTACAGAAGTTACAGCAGTTTTAAGGTCATCGTAAAATAGCTTTACTAATATAATATTGTTATATTACTAATATATAACATTTTCTAATGAAGGCTATTTAATGTGAAGAAAAGACAGGACTTGATGTTACACATTGGGAATTGTTTGTACGTCTCTATATAATTTAATAGTTGTATGAAAGGAGTTGAAAAATAGGAGGGCATGATGACATCAGTGAAAATGATGACATCTACATTCAAAAGCCGGACAGATTAGAAAAACAATTGTTTCTTTGCATTAATGTACACTGATGAATCTTTCACAATAAAGATGCATTCAATTGTTGCATTTTGCAATCACAATCACTGAGTTTATACTGGTCGTGTTACCTGCATATTCACCATTGTAAAATGATGAATGAATTATGATTGTACTGGCTCATACAAAAACTATCACTTTCAAAAGTACTTTTGATACACTTTAGGCACTAATATGAACATTTAATGTTTTATTGTGTACCTTTAAGGTACTAGTATGTACCATTTTGGAGTAAAAATAAGTATAAAGATGTACCTTTTAGCTTTTGTGCCAGTGACCGCTTTGTACCTTTTTTTCTGATAGTGAATAAATATTAATATAAAAAGTTGCACACTCTAATATTTGGTTGGACCGTCTTTGGCTTTGATTACGGTGTGCATTTGACATGGCATTGTTTTGACAAACTTATGGAACATTGAAACACTTATTTCCATCAAGAGTTGCATTACTTTTTGACTGGAATCTTGTATTGACAGTGAAAGAGTTGAACCACTCTGTACAGTCTATTTCAGCACATCCTTTCAATGGGGTTAAAGTCTGGAATTCATGTGTGAAATTGGCACGTTTTTTAGGAAATAAAAAGCTACATACACTCTTAAAAATAAAGGTGCTTCACGATGCCATAGAAGAAAATTTTTTTCAAAATGGTTCCGTAAAGAACCTTTAACATCTTTAACATTTGTTTCACAAAAGGTTCTTTGTTCGTATCCATTTTTGGAAGGCCAAACAAAGTAGTTTCGCTTTCACGATGAAACATAGCGTCACACATGGCGGCCTAGAGTGAGCAGAGGCCGGGGGATAAAGTGAGGAACGGCCGGAGGGCTAGAGTGAGCAGAGGCGGCGGATTCGACGAAGGAGCATCCGGCGGGATTGCGGCAACCACATGTGACGACCCCGGCCTGGACTCCGCTTCATCCACGGTAAAAGCCGATCCACAGCACAAAGTTGTAGTATTTCCTCAGCAACCAGCATGGATAAGCTCTAAGCATGACGAAGCGGATATCGTCCTCTTTTGGAAGGCCAAACAAAGTAGTTTAGCTTTCACAACGAAACACACAGCATCTTCACGACATGGAGGCGGCAGCAACAACAATACTACAGCGAGAATAAAAGTTACGCCTTCTTTCTTTGCGTGAACATTTGGGTGGCGTTATGCAAATCTTCCCATATAGTGATGTAGACATGTGGGGGCGTGTTAGAACGAGCCGTTTTAGGGGGGTGTGGCTGACTCTTAACTTTTATAAAGAATATCTCTTTGGATTTGAGACTTTAGTCTTTGCAACTTTACAGATCTTCTTTATGCACCAAGAGCTTGTAACACTCCAAAGAGAAAAGAAAAATTGAAATAGCATCATATGACCCCTTTAAGGTTAAAAGAATTGTTGACACATATAACATGCCAGAAATAAATTAAATACTGCAATAATGATTCAATTATATATTCTTGAGTATTTGCTTATTTAAATCTAAACACTAACGTTGTTTTGGAGTGTATGTCCAAACAAAACAACTGACCTCTAGTATGTCTGAAAAAAAAATAAAAAATCTGAGGTTTTCTAGAGCTAATTATGGAAGCCCGTTTCCGCCACTGAATAAAAAATAAAAAAGCTAATTGCGACTTTTTATCTCACAATTCTGACTTGTTTTGTCAGAATTGCGAGATATAAACTCGCAATTGCGAGAAAAAAATCTGAATTGCGAGTTTTTCTCGCAATTGTGAGTTTATATCTCACAATTCTGACTTTTTTTCACAGAATTATGAGATATAACGTCAGTTATGAAGTCAGAATTGCGAGATATAAACTCGCAATTGCGAGAAAAAAATCTGAATTGCGAGTTTTCCTCGCAATTGTGAGTTTATATCTCACAATTCTGACTTTTTTTCACAGAATTATGAGATATAACGTCAGTTATGAAGTCAGAATTGCGAGATATAAACTCGCAATTGCGAGAAAAAAATCTGAATTGCGAGTTTTCCTCGCAATTGTGAGTTTATATCTCACAATTCTGACTTTATATCTCGCAATTCTGACTTCATAACTGACGTTATATCTCATAATTCTGTGAAAAAAAGTCAGAATTGTGAGATCGCAATAACCTTTTTTATTTTTTATTCAGTGGCGGAAACAGGCTTCCATAGTTAATCGATGTAAATACTTATGTAAAAATTTTAAAATATATATTTTTTTACATCCACCCATTTTTTTTTTTTTATACATTTTTAGTATACATCACATCACATCCACCCAAACCTAAAATGAGGTCCTAAAATGGATCTCTCATATCTTCCATTGGAAATGAATGACTCTTAGTCTGTTTCTGGTCTATTTGTTGGAGACAGTAAAAAGGTGTGTAGTCAAAGTATAATGCACTTTAGTAGTAAGTGTAATGCAGTAGTACAAAGTATAACGCTCAAACTTTAGTGCATGTTGACTTTAAGAATGCATAGATTCAATTTTTATTGTATTATAGTTGATGTGATGCTGCTATCAGTTTGTTTGAGTTGTGTAACGAAGGGTTATTGCTGTTGTTTTTGCTCAGTGTCTGTGGATACTGAAGGTTAGTGATGATGTCACACGTGATATTAAGGTCACATCCCTCTGGAGATCAGAGAACGAGGGAAAGATAGAGAGAATGTGAGATGGCAGTGAGGGCAGAAAGAGAGGAGAATTACGTAAACAGATGCAGGAGGAAAGAGAAGTTTCACATCCATAGCGCTAGTTCAGAGAGTGAGAACTGGGTCTGTCACAACTTTTACGTAATCACCTGATTGCAATTAATTGATCTAATTGCAGTTATTTGAGATAATCATCAGGGATATAACTAAAGACAGGACAAACTAACAAAAACATAAAAACAAC